ATTATAGAGATATTTTAACTTTTTAATAATATTAAAGTCTATTTATATATTAATCTTTATATATTTATTTAAATTTCTTTACTTTATAATTAAATTAACTTTATTATTATACTATTATTATATTATTATAAATATATTTTAATTTTTAATTTATAAAAACCTTTAAATTAAGTAATATTAATAAAGAAGCTATAATTTAAATTAAAGATATTATTTTATAGCTTTGAAAATACACCCTTACAAGCACCCTTGCCAAGTTGTACCAGTGTGCTCTTGGTCCTCATATAGGCAGCTATCCCCTCATGACCATTTTCCAGTCCTATTCCACTCATTTTCCAACCACCTACAGGCATCTCGGCTGGTGACTCACCCCATGTGTTAATCCAAGTAATCCCAGCGTCAAGCTTCTGCACAACTTCATGCGCCAGTCCCACATCAGATGACACAACACCAGCAGCAAGACCCATGGGGGTATCATTAGCCCGGGCAATGAGCTCTGACACCCATTCTTGTCGAGGGCGTCCTTGGGTGCTATATGGCATGATACACATGACTGGGCCGAAGATCTCTTCCTTGACAACGCGCATGCTGTCAGTGCAATTTGTGAAAACAACAGGGTGAACCCAGAAACCATCAGAAGTTGGTTGTGCCATACTAGGCTCCTCCGAGCCGTCGAAAAGAACCTTTGCCTTATCAACTGTACGTCCATGTTGGATGTACATCTTGACCTTCTCTTGCTGCGCGGCGCTGACCATGGGTCCGAAGTTGGTTTCCCCGTTTTGTGGCAGACCCATGCGAATTCCCTCGCGACATCGCTGCACGATAGCTTGCTCAACCTGGCTCAACAGAGTGTCAGGGACAAAGACACGGGTGCCATTGGTACACACCTGTCCGGTCGAGAAAAAGTTGGCTACCATGGCAGTGTCGGCTGCTTCCTCGATGTCGGCATCAGGAAGAATAACAAGCGGGCTCTTGCCACCCAGTTCCATGGTGACACCCTTCATGTCTTTCACAGCTTGGCTGGCAACTTTGCTGCCTGTGCTAACTTGACCAGTGAAGCTGACTTTGGCAATATCGTTGTGGGCGACAAGAGGGGCTCCAACGGCGATACCGTCACCGTAGACAACATTGAAGACACCAGGAGGGACACCGGCCTCGATGTAGATCTGGGCGAGTGTCTGGGCATGCAGGGGAGTGACTTCACTTGGCTTGTACACCATACAATTGCCAGCAGCCAAACATGGAGCCGACTTCCAGAGAGCAATCTGAATGGGATAGTTCCATGCACCAATACCGGCACAAACGCCCAAGGGCTCATGGGTAGTGAGAACGAAAGCGTCAGGACGAAGACGAGTGTTTTGACCAGGAAAGCTGCCAGCAGCGATATGGGCGTAATACTCGAGAACGTCAGCTCCAGTTGCAACGTCAACGGTTGATGTTTCCGACCAAGGCTTGCCAGTATCAAGGGTCTCGGTCAGCGCAAGTTCGTCATTGCGCTCGCGAAGTATAGCGGCTGCCTTGAGAAGAATGGCAGCTCGGCGAGGTGCTGGGGTTTGTGACCATGCTGGAAAAGCGGCCTGGGCCGCCGCAATGGTTGAGTTGAGCTGTTCTGGGGTGGTAGTGTAGATAGTAGCGAGCGGCTTTGCATTGCTTGGATCGACGGACACAAAGGTGTTGGTCTTTGAAGAGGACTCAGGCTGTGGGCGACCTGAGTGGAAAGTGTGAATCTCAGATGAGAAAGTCATTGTAACTTGGTTGGTATGATCGAAGAGGGAGCATGCAACAGGGCATGTAGAGGGAGATTGAATAAGGCAAAGGACAACACACAACAGGCAAATAGATAGATAGATAGTAGGTCGGTATTCAGAATGATCTGAGAGAAGATGCTCTGCTGGTTACATGTGGGGAGCTGGCTGTAAGTAAGTTAAGGTATCCTACCTTAATATGTAAAGCTTGTGAGGATCAATCAGTATGAAGTACGGAGTACCGTCAAGACGGAATGGCCATTGCCCCACAATTGACTGATGCCGGGTACCTTCCTCTTCTAGCAAGATACAATGACGTGGGGCCAAGCTATACTGTGCCGTCACAGTGGGATTGGCCATCCAGTTAGAGCCCAGCCAAAGTATCAACCATGCAGCCAACATTCAATGGCAAGCAACACGAGCAAGAACTCAATTTACCAAGCTATGGTCATTCAGAGACAAGTCTCAAACGGAACTGATAGCGATTTTCGGCTGTGAAGCCCTAGTCTGTGACGTGGTGAGATCAGCAGACCTGGGGAAGGATTACACCCATCATGACTCGAGCAGATCTGAAGAGATACGGAGAGTCTGTCAGTTGCGAGAACAGGTCGACGGCCATTCATCGTGAGAGAGTGCCTTGAACGCCTCAGCGTTGCATCAATGCGGAGAGTAGCGGCTCAGCGCTATTGGAATAAAGCCGCATATTATCAGACCACTCTCACTTGGCGAAAGATAATGAACCTGAGGAAGAAGGGGTAAAACGGCTCCATTTGCAATTGATAAGTTGTCCAACCAATAGATGCGTGAATCCCCGTGCTGCAGTACATACATGCGTGCGGGCTGATGAATAACAGGACAGCCCGGAAGGCTTGGAAGACTGGACCCCCCAGCCCCGCCTCGCTCCGACAAAAATGCTGGAGACAATCTCTGGTGCAAGTCACTGCAAAAAAGTCCTGTTTTCTCATCATCTAGGCAGCCTTGCATCGTGCCCAGTCCTCAGCCCAGCTACAGAATCCCAGTCTTGACAATGCCGAAGAACGCCAAGCTTGAGTGGCTGGTCGAGGGGAAGCACAAGAGTGGACACGCCAACGTCATTGCTGAGCTTCGAGGTGTCCACCTGCCACCCCTAGAGCTCTACCTACATCCAGCCGCCCAAACTCTTGACCGTTGTTGAACTATGAATAAAGCAAGGCGCTTGAATGTTGTTTCATAACAATGGATAGATAGCGCTATCATCCAAGGCGGGCGAATTTGCTTAACAGTCCAGCTCTTGCACACACGATTGTTCTGCCAATAATTCGAGCGGGTTTCAACGGCAGAAAAGTCAAGCACTGAAAAAATTGGAATCAAGAAAAGCAAAAAAAGAAGGGATTTGCCATCTCGGCGGGGGCGCACTGTCCAATTACCACATCCCAAAAAACGATCTTGGAGATTATCGATCTGACGGCCAGGTACCCCAACCACGCTTTACCTGATCAGTATGCTAAGCAACATTTCAAACTTGGCATCCTCCACGGCACATGGCAATATGGAGTTCCAGTGGTGCAAGACACTGTCCCTGCAGATTATCCAATGTGGTCTGGATGAAGCGAGATAGCACAGCACGCGAACCCCGAACAGGTATTTCCTGTACATCAGGAATCCTACAATCACACACATCAACTCAGCACTCGACACATCCACTGCGGAGAGCGGCGACCCTGCGCCGTGTTACCGTGTTTCAAGCCTCGTAATCAAACACCGACATGGCCGGTTAACCGGTCCAGCCAGTTCGCGATATCATATCAGCAGCTTTCGTCTGGCAGTCCATAGGCCGACTGTAAATTCCAAACATGGAGCTGACTTGGCGAATAATTATTCCATTTCTTATTGAGCATATGGAAACTGATTCGCCATATTGCCCAACCAGAAATCAATCTTGAGTACAATATTTCCTTCGGAGGCTTCGTGGAACCGGATCCGGCCAGCGGAGTTCCTTGGACTCCATCTTTTCGCCGTCAGACGGCCCCACAACCACCGTTCAACACCGAACAGGTATCAAACAGTCGCCGCGTCAACCAACGTTCTTGGTGCGGTTGCAGCGGCCAGGGCAAACCAAGCAATGTCTTTGCATGTGTTAGTAGCATGATAAAGAGTGAAGCAGGGACATCGCAGACAGGCCCCCCAGCGACTTGATTGCAAGAAATCGAGCCTTTTCACAATGGTGAGTTCTGGTCTAACTCTCAGCTACTCTCCCCTGTCACTTCCATTATCTACAAAGATATCAACCAACTGACTGATAACGAAGCCGTCAACGTCATGCAAGTTTGGAGCACTGGCTTTAGATATTCAAAACTTCGGTAACACCGAAAAAAAGATTCCCGGAGTCGGTGAAGAGCTTTTTGCCGTTCAGACCCCCGCCAAGGCCCCGCTCTTGCTAGGTTCGTGGCTTGCTAGATGCTTCAACCGGTTCTCTCCCTGGTTAGCTCTTGCCGCCGCCGCCGCCCGTCTTGGAGTCTTGATCCACCCACCAGCCTTGCTCGATGTTGGTAGCTCTGGCCAATTAGAACTCCTTACTGACCACCAAAGGGTACTTGGAGCAGTCAGAACACTACATGGAGTCGAGGCTGGAGACCAGTAGCGAGAATTCATCCGCACTGTACGATGCTTCCAAGGGCCCTTCCATGATCCAAGACCCCACTTTGAGCTGATGTCCGTCCATTTCAAAAAGATCTTGACTGTCTCGATGCTCAAGTACAAGAGCTCTCTCTCTCTCCTGGACTTCAAATCGTTTTTCTTCCTCACTTCTCCCTCAACCCCATTCATTGATACCCCTGGAGTCAAAACTACTGAGACACGTGCAAGATCTTTACCCATCCCTCCATTGAATATTGTGTTCAACTTTTCCCTCGCTCAACTTCTCCAACATGACTACTGAGTATCTTCCCGCTTCTGCCAGCTCCGCCTACGACTATATCATCGTAGGTGGTGGTACGGCTGGATGTGTTCTGGCTTCCCGCCTATCCTCCTACCTTCCTGAGCGCAAGGTTCTTATGATTGAGGCTGGCCCTTCAGACTTTGGTCTCAACAATGTCCTGAACCTTCGCGAGTGGCTATCTCTCCTTGGTGGTGACCTCGACTATGATTATCCCACAACTGAGCAGCCCAATGGCAACAGCCACATCCGACACTCACGTGCAAAGGTCCTCGGTGGATGCTCCTCTCACAACACTCTCATCTCCTTCCGCCCCTTCCGCCACGACATGGATCGTTGGGTCGCCAAGGGCTGTAAGGGCTGGGACTTCGAGACCGTTATGCGTAACGTTGACAACTTGCGCAACCAGCTGAACCCCGTTCACCCCCGTCATCGTAACCAGCTCACCAAGGACTGGGTCAAGGCCTGCTCCGAGGCCATGGGCATCCCCATCATCCACGACTTCAATCACGAGATCTCCGAGAAGGGACAGCTGACCCAGGGTGCTGGTTTCTTCTCTGTCTCTTACAATCCTGACACTGGCCACCGCAGCAGTGCTTCCGTCGCCTATATCCACCCTATCCTTCGTGGCGATGAGAGACGACCTAACTTGACCGTCCTCACCGAGGCCCATGTTTCAAAGGTCATCGTCGAAAATGACGTTGCCACTGGCATCAATGTCACTCTCAAGTCAGGCGAGAAGCATACTCTTAATGCCCGCAAGGAGATCATCTTGTCTGCTGGTGCTGTCGATACCCCTAGACTACTCCTTCACTCTGGTATTGGGCCTAAGGGCCAGCTTGAGGACCTGAAGATTCCTGTTGTCAAGGATATTCCAGGTGTAGGCGAGAATCTCCTAGACCACCCCGAGACCATTATTATGTGGGAGCTCAACAAGCCCGTCCCTGCCAATCAGACCACCATGGATTCCGATGCTGGTATTTTCCTGCGACGAGAGCCTAAGAACGCTGCTGGTAACGACGGCGATGCCGCTGATGTCATGATGCACTGTTACCAGATTCCTTTCCACCTTAACACAGAGCGTCTAGGGTATCCCATCATCAAGGACGGTTACGCCTTCTGCATGACACCCAACATTCCCCGTCCTCGCTCACGTGGCCGCATCTACTTGACTTCAGCCGACCCCACTGTCAAGCCTGCTCTCGATTTCCGATACTTTACTGACCCCGAGGGCTACGACGCTGCCACCCTGGTCCACGGCATCAAGGCTGCCCGAAAGATTGCGCAGCAGAGCCCCTTCAAGGACTGGCTCAAGGGAGAAGTTGCCCCTGGTCCTAAGATCCAAACGGATGAGGAGATAAGCGAATATGCTCGCCGAGTTGCCCACACAGTCTACCACCCTGCCGGTACCACCAAGATGGGTGACGTTGAGCGCGATGAGATGGCTGTTGTCGACCCCGAGCTCAAGGTTCGTGGAATCAGCAAGCTCCGCATTGTTGATGCTGGTATCTTCCCTGAGATGCCAACAATCAACCCCATGGTGACCGTGCTGGCTGTTGGTGAGCGAGCTGCCGAGCTCATTGCTCAAGAGGAGGGCTGGAAGCCCAAGCACTCCCGACTGTAAGCATCTTCGAGCAATATCTCAAATATCTGCTCGTGGGGGTAAACGGGGGGGATCACTGTTTTTGGACATCTGTATGATTAAATGATTAGCGTATGATTGCATTATCGCAGCGAGTATGACATACCTTGGGTAGTTAGGAAAATTTGAAGTTCGTTTACCAAATAAGACTCTCAGGGGCTTGTGGCCCGATTTGCCGTTGTTCTTCCAATCGTTTGTGCCGGTGTCGGGTCGTATTTCCCCGATGAGGGCCTTGGCCCAGCTTCTTGACCAATTCATATTTTGCCGCGACGGGTCAGTAAAACAGGCACAGCGGGCCGGCGACTTTCCACTACTAAACCACCCGGATCGCTCAGTTTAATGTGTCTCGTAAGGCCCGGAATGCTAGATCATATTTCCATGATGAAACGAAAGTTCGATATGCGTCGATGTTCCAGCACCAATCGGGGGACCCGAAGCGCGATGCAGGACATTCAATCTTGGATGTGTTCTCAGCGGCAGAGATAAGGTGATAATAAGCAGTGGCAAGATGCCACAAGATCGATATAGCATTGCGCGTTATTATTATGCATATTGTGTCTTGTCGGGTCTCGGGTGGCCAGCTGATGACCATTCCCACAACTCACTTTGTTACCTGACTTTTCTCAGCGGGTGCACTGGTATCCATTTAGACGGGTTATGGCCCGTGGAGCCGTGCATCCATCAGCTGCTCCAAAAAGAAAAGTGTGGGGTATGTCCGGGGTTTCGGGACGGAGCGTTGAGCGTGGAGTGGGTGGTTCGACGGATGACAGGGCCGAAACGTGTCTGTGAGATCCATCCACGTCGGCCGTTGCGCGGTTGTGCAGGGTCCCTCGGTCGAGGATCCTCTACTCCTCCATGGGGATAACATAGATTATCTTCCGGAACGACAGTTGAGATGGCCTTAGCAGAGCCCCGGTCCGGCCAGCCGCCTGCTAAAGAGGTCTCGATCGGTAGGGGCCATACCTTCGTTTTGAGTGAGGTTTATAGAAGAAGCAGTGCAAGCTGAATAGCAACAGGCGCATTTGTTGGTTTCGCTCTGTTCTCGAATCTTCGCACTTTGATGCATAAAACCATCTGACGGATTGCTGTGTCCCTATGGCTGAGATATTCAGGTTGCAGAAGGGTTTTCATTGTGTTTTTAAAGCATTAACAAGCAGACGCGATAGATAACCGATCCCAAGAGCCTTCAATCGGCTGCCCGAAATCCCCAACTTCAAGACGCGATTCGAGGCTAGAAAAATGGCTACACCAACAATCGACTTACCACCAACAACGTGTGAAGATGAAGTCACCACGCCCATATTGGACAACGCCCAAGGACTAGCCTCTGCAATAGGAGCAGCAGCAGCAGTGGCGGCTGTAGCTGTCGGGGACGGTCTTACACACGGACTTGGAGGAGTTGCATATGGAAAACCATACGATGGTCACATCTCAGAAGAAGATGGCCAGTTCCACGATGTAGATCACAAAGGCGCACGTGAGGCGAAACAACAGAAAAGCCTTAGGGAGGCCCAAGAGAAGTGGGATGCTGCAACCATGGGACCGGTAACAAGGGTCGAAACAGTTATAGCGGCGGAAGGTGGAGGAGGAGATGGAAGAGGAGAGCGGGAGGTCTGGGAGGGAGGAGGAGGAGGAGGGCCAGAAGGGGTGCAGTTGCCGCCTAGAAAAGGCGCTGATGTGGCAGGTCAACAGGTCAGAGCTGCTCTTTCCCGCTCCCGCCTTGGTCGTTCAAACCCCTCCAGCTCCGGCTCCAGCTCCAGCTCAGGCTCACTATCAGGCGCATCCCTTCACAACGCTGCCAATACTGCTGTCGCTGCTCCTGCTATTGCTTCTAACAACAGTCCCAATAACCTCAACTTCATACAAACCGGTCGCGTCACCAAGTCTCGCCATCGCTCTTCTCTTTCAGCACCAATCGCAGCGTCGCTTGTGAATGCTGCTGCTACGGAGAGTGCAAGATTATCCTACGAGGCAAAGCTTACCGCCGCACTAGCTGCTAACATCGCCGGCACAATGGCGGGTAGCCAGTCAAGCACGACGACAACAGCTCTCCCCTCGCTAAAATCGAATGGTCTCTCCTCGCTGCCACAAAAGCCCAAAACAAATGGAACAACACCGACCCTTAGCACCGCCTCTTCTATGGACAAAGATGCTCCCGTGATTTCCTTTTGGGGCCCGGAGCCAATTGCTCTGCCCTCGCGCTTCGCCCGCATCAAGCGCAACCTCATCAGTGGCCACGAAGCTGAGCTCGAAGCTAGTTGGGGTCGCCTCATTACTGCACTTCGTAAAGAGGTCAGTCATATAGAAGACCTTGGGGCTCACCTCATTCCTTCAATTGAGTTTGGCGACCTAGATGATTCTGTTCAGACTGCGCGCTTTGGACATGATCTGAGGCGCTACGGTGTCGGCGTCGTCCGCAAGGTTGTACCAAGAGCAGACACGGATACTGCAGTCCGCGAAACAGTCGACTATCTCGATAGCAAACGCCACATCAAGGCACTCCAGCAGCATGATCCAGCCTGTTTCGACTTCTTTTGGACACCAGCTCAAGTCCGCTCGAGAGCGCACCCCAATGTCCTCAGCGCCCAACGATTTATGATGAGCCTGTGGGAGACCAATCCAGATGATCAGCTTGTCACAAGACTCCCTATCACCTATGTCGATCGCATACGCGTACACGGAAATGGAGAGAACCAGTCCAACAGTCTAAATGTGCCGCCGCTCGAGCCGCCACAATCCGCCGACGATTGGATTCAGGCATTACAATCATCTGCAGGCATCACAGCACAAGTTGACAACGGGTCCTTGGAGCGCTGGGAGCCCGACGGTTATCAACGTGCCGGTACCTACAACCATATCTTTCATGGCCAATGGGAAGACTACGATCCTTGGAAATGTACCAGTCGCACTTCTGTTACGACTGACCTTTACAATGGCTACGGTGCCTGCACTATCTTCCGCATGTTTCAGGGCATCTTGGCACTTTCCACTGTCGAACCCGGCATGGTTCGCCTCTTGCCGTCCCCCAAGCTTGCAACAGCTTACTACCTCCTCCGGCCCTTTTTCACAACCAAGAATCCTCCACCAGAGAATCGCACCGGGCCTGAATGGGAGGCATATCTTGCTCCCGAGAATTGGAAGCTGCAAACTGAGCCTGATTCCATCATTCATGGAGCTGTCCCGGGGCACGCACAAAGAATCACTGAAACCTGGCACCCACATCTACATCTACGAAATAGCATGATTACTTTACCAACTCTTCAGCCTGGAGACTACATATTCTGGCACCCTGACCTTCCATACTACCTCTCCAGTAACAACTATGGTCTCAAAACACCCAGTGGAAGCAAGAGTGAAGTCAGCATGCTCGTGTACATTCCGGCAGCCCCGCTCACGCAAACAAATGCACTCTATCTTGCACGTCAAAGGAAGGCATTCCAGAGGGGCCATCCCGGCCCAGACTTTGATTCCACGGGAAGAGGGATTGTTGAAGAGGACGCCGAAACGCGACCTGGTGAAAAGGAAATTGCCGAAGTCGGAGGTCCCTCTTCATTGCAGGCCATGGGTCTTGCGCCATGGGAAGTTGCAGGCACTCGCTCCGGATCACCACCCTCGGAAAAGTGCAAGTCTAAGGCCGATGAGGATGTTGAGATGGAGGGAGACGGAGACACCAAGAGCCTTACAAGCACATCATCGATTTCTCGCGCTGAGGCTGAGGTTGTGCGCTTAGCCAATATTATCCTCTTTCCAGATCGCTCAATGCTGGGGTACTCGGTTTGAAAGAAGCATTAACTTATTGGCCGGTTTCTGTCTTTCATCTCCTGGTTAGTTCGACATCACACTTCTCTGATCCTTTTTGGGCTCTTTGTGACATCTCATAACGGTATGTGGTCCAAAGGTATACAGGAGATCGGTTAGATGCATCATGAAGGAGTCAGGCGTTTACCTAAGGATTGAAACTAGACAGAAACTTTTGTTCTTTATTTGCATAAACGAAGACATACATATCTTGTGCCCAAAATGTGATGTGTAGCTCTAGATCCAGAAACGCCAGTCTAAACAGGAAAGATATCCTTTATTTCAACTACCATGATCATTTGGTGGCATGTCTCAAAGTGTCCGCGATACTGGAAGCCACAAGCACAGCCGCTTCTCGAGAGATCTGCTGCTGTGAGCCGAAAATACCAATGGCAAGACGTCCTTTATCGACGGAAGCCTCAACATCAACAGCCACCTGTGAAAATAGGGTTAGTAGCCATTCTTAGCTTCACGGCCAGTAACTTACCGGAATGCCATTCACCCGAAAGCTTTCCTGACGAGCCGCCTGAAATTGAGCCGGTACGTGATGGTGGTACGAGTTGTCAGTCACCTCTTGTGACAAAACTGTGACCGAGTTCTCTACGGAACCTGTATCGTCGGAGAGGCTCAGGAAGTTAACAAATGATTTTACTTGTACACCAGTCCATTGATCAATCTCCCAGAGACCGACGTCTGATCGTCCATCAGATGTAATCTGGTGAATGTCTCTCTGGATATTCTTTGCAACAGATGACAAAGGAAGTTCTATGGGCGAGTCAACCCTCAAAGGAACAAGGTTCAAGGTCGGGTAGACCTGAGGGAGCCTATCGCTGGCAGCAGCTCGATTGGCAAGATACATGCCAAACACCACTGACCCATTGTCCGGTGTGTTATTTTGCGTGGCGAGGACTTTGGCATAAGCTGCAAGGAACCAAGACTGGAGTGAAATGCCAGACTGAGTAGAAAGAGCCTGTATTTGACTGACATCTGGTATCGCTGATTCGTTTAAATAAGAAATCCGGTTCTTTACGTCTGCTTGCAATTCAGAAGCAATCGAACTGGAAGAGGTGCCGTGTAAGTACGCCTTCCAGAAAGCTCGTCTATCTTTCTGGGCTGCTTCGCTAGCCTGATGGACTGCAAAGTCCTTCCACCGAGTAAGCCCATTGTTCTCGACAGCGACAGAG